GAAAAACATCAATAATCCCGAAATTGACAAAACCCGAGCCCCGGGCCCACTTCTCGAAACTCAGAAATTTTTACAGAAAAGTGTTCTTCATCTTCTCCCGATTCCGTACATATAAAGAACACCAAAATCGGAGTCCGTTTGACCCCTCAAATCGACCCCTAAAGGTCTCATAATCTCAAGCCCCAAAATCCTATTTTTCTACTGTTTTTCATGAATTAAAGGCTGGGATTATGGTCTATAATCACCCATAAACGAGTTTTAATAATCAAATCACTTACCTCTGTGATATCAACTGATTTTCTCTCTTAAAAATCGCCTCAGAAGCTTCTTCCCGTTCAAAAATTGGAAGAAAACTCGATCTGCTCATTATAGGTATACTGTTCACGCGTTTTACTGCTCCCAATGGATTCCTTGTGAAATTCTAATGAATTTAGACTTTTGAATCACTCAATTTGACCTTATAATGAAGGAGATATGTAGGTTTTAAGATTTGCAAATAGTGCAGGTTTTTAATACGCCGTCAGGGGCAATTTCGTCATTAACCTGAAAATCTGGGCAACCTTGGTAAAATGGCCATAAAATCCTCATACGATGTCCAAATTCGACGATTCTTTTTGCTACGAGTCCGTAATTACGATACGGATCTAATGCTTCATTCAAAACAGTAATCGGAGCTCATATGTTCAATATGATATCATTTATGCTTGAAGAAACGACGTCGAAGCATAAGAAAAACGAGCACAACGCAGCCCAAACCTATCCTAAACTCACCAGAGCTCCCCGGGACCGCATACGAACATACTAACACGTCACATATGATCATTCAAACTTAGTTGCACTCTCAAAACACCAAAACTAACATCAAAACACCAAATTTACATCGGATTCAAGCCTAAGTTCTTCTAAAACATCCGAAACACGTATTTGATCAAAAAACCAACCAAATCAACTCCGAATAACCTGAAATTTCGCACACACATCCCAAATCACCTAACGAAGCTACAGCAACTCTCGGAATTCCATTCCGACCCTCGGATCAAAATCTCACCTATCAACCGGAATTCGCCAAAATACTAACTTCGCCAATTCAAGCCTAATTCTACACCGGGCCTCCAAAATCACTTCCGATCACACTCCTAAGTCACAAATCATCCCCCGAAGCTAACCGAATCGTCGGAATCCACATCCGAGCCCTCTAACTCATAGGCCAACATCCGGTTGACTTTTCCAAAACAAGCCTTCCTTAAAGAGACTAAGTGTCTCATTTCCTTCCAAAAATCAACCAAATTCAACTCGTTCACACAAGACACTGATAATGAAGCATAACGAAGCAGGAAATGGGGGAAACGAAGCGGTTCTCATGAGACGACGGGTCGGGTCATCACAGCATTAAAAATAAAAATGCTATCAATTCGAATGAGAATCATGAAAAGAAAAATAAAATATAGAAGTATCGTGTTTTGAAGGATTCTTTTTTATTTTTAGTTTATATATATGGGTATTGGTCGAATGGGCTGGGTTATTCCTATTGTAATTGGATTGTTATTTATTGGAGTGAAAAGAAAAAATAAAAAAGCATAGAATAAGAAAATACTACTGAAAAGTTATTTATTTAGGTTACTATGGTTTTTGTAGGTGTTAGTAAAAGTTTTATGATATTGTGTGAGAAAACATAGTTATATAGCTTTAGTGAAATAATATTATAATTATATGACCTTTTGTGAAATTTACCAAACTTAGGTATATATATTCTTGAAGATAAAATTTCACTTTATTTTTCACTCGGTGGAGATAGATGTCTTATTGTTTAAACCCAAAAGTTCTTTTCTTTTTTCTCCGATAACCAAAAAAAAAAAAAAGAAAAAAAAAAAATGAGAGGCCGAATTTGAATATACAGTCTATCACCTCCCAAAGTCTCAATCCATATTTCGTTATCTGCTTATAAAAAAATAAGGTGACACTTAAACGCGTTTTGTAATCTGACTAGCTTTCAGTTTTTTTTCTGCAAAAAAGAATTCTTCTATAATAAAAATAAAAACATTCCAAATCAATTTATACAAATAGAGAAATAAAATAAAAATTCGTTGGAGATTGATTTAAAGATTAGTAGAAAAATTAAAGAAAAGGCAGGTGCAAAATTAACAGAAATACCATAATATTCACACGTCAAATTCACATGGTTTGCTATGTATGATATTTGTGCCCAATTGGTAGGAGTTGGAAAACTATTCAACACGGCAAAAATACTCCGCATAAACAGTCTAATCTAAGTTATTGAATAAATGAAAAATAGAATAACACTCTTTTTCCCTATATATATCCCACCAGGTAGAAAAAGGACCAAGAACAATAAATGTCAAAGGGCACACAGAAGAACCACAGCGCACTTTCATATGGAATCTATAAGTAGCGTATGATATAAAAAGTTACTAATGTCGAAAAACTTCTTTCGTTTGCTTCAAAAACAGTGTAAAGCATTTTTGCAAGGACTCTTTAATTTTTTCTATCAAAAGCCATCTAAGGGGTTCTCAATGGCTTTTGATACTGCACCAAATTTGTTTTTTGGTTGACTCCCACAACCAATGGAACTTGTATGAGAATACTTTCATTTGAAATGTGGATGGACAATCCCCTCCACCCCCCACCCCCACCCCGGCTCTTTCTGTCCTGCACACTAGACATGTATAGATCAACCCACAGAACCGTTGAACTTTAACTTACTTTCATACAATGAGCATCTGCAGTAGTTGCGATAACAAGTTTATAGGGGCTCCGATTCACCAGAATGTATATAGAACAGGACAATTCTCGTGCCTCATCACAGTTATAGGAAACAGGTGCATAACTGGCGAACAGAATAGATAGATTACCTGAAGAGGACAGACGCCTATCTTTAGTACCATGTCTCACATGAAAACCGTTCATGGCCTCCATTTTCAAGACGATTGCATAAGATGACATCAAGCCAAAAAGCAGATTAAGGAAATGACTCATTAGTCAACATCCCAAGGGCAGCAAAACACTTCAGATAACCCAAAATAACTTCATGGATTGACCATTCCATCATCTAAGTAGCTAGAATACCACCAATGTTATACAGGTCTTATATGAGGCACCCACGTATGTAAAATCATCAACAGAAGAGTCAAGCATCTACAGTAACAGGAAAATGAACATTATTATACTGATTTCAGTTTGTTCATCTTCACACAACTTACTTAATATATAACGGAAAAAATAACAGAAACATAAACACGTAGGTTTACTTTCAACAGGAACCTTTAAGCGATGATGAAAGGCCTAGCTGGAAACAGTAAAGCATTGCCATCCAACTAAAACCAATTACAATCTAAAGATTATCATGTACTGTGACTAACTGAAACTTGGTCAGCAGGCTTTTTTTTGAGATTCCCCTTTGATCCCCTTTGTTGGAACCATTGCTCCTTTGGTGACTCGAACCCACGATCCTGGGATTGTAGGTGGGTGGTGTTGACCATCTGAGCAGCCCCTTCTTGTAAGCAGGCTTAAAAGGCCACAAATCAAAATTTCGAAGGATCAAAGACCAGTCCTTCTCATTTTCCAAACTTACACCTATGTGCAAAATGTAAACAACTATAGGTGTCCTAGGCGCTAAGGCAGACCAAAGATTGGACATCACAATCTAAGCGTGCGGTGCATGTGCCCACACACACATATCCAATAAGTTTATGCTTTGACGATTTGCAACAGAGTTAACATAAACAAGGGACACAAACTGGTAGTAAATTTAACATAAACAGGGAAAAAATACTGGCTGAAAGCATGGCTTGGGTTCTATTAATCCAACACTGCACAGCATGGATGAATACAGTCTCCTAACTTCCACCAAGTAAAAGCACACACAATTCACTAAGCAAGCAAATCTAACAAACTCCTTTCCATTTGGTGACAATCAGCAAAACTAGTTTCAAAGTATTATGAGCTAACGGGATAACATGTGGGCAAAAAGATGACAAAAGATGAAAAAACTCGAAAGAAATAATAATACCAAAAGCATGAGCTTACAAAAGCTCTTTAATGTGTAAGATTAACATAAATTGCTCCAACAACTTCCTCTCTATCACTATGGTCCTTTTTTTTTCTTTGGCTAAAATTGTGCCAATTAGAGACCACATCTCAAAGACAAGAGCAAAAACTGGCATCAATTACGTTGGCGATAATAGAGGCAACTACCTAACTGGACTCATATGCTCTACCGTAATTAACAATTTGGGTTAGCACTTATTAGTACTCTTTTCCCTTATTATCTAAATAAATCAAAAACATGAAACTCTCTATCCTCCTAAAAATTAGCAAACAAGCAGAGAATAACTCAAATTACACGACAATCACTAGAGATAATGATCCTCAAGCAATAGCAATATATCATCTAATTAAGATACCAATAGATTCCCACCAAAAAGAACAAAGGAAAAACCAACATACATAAGCAAAAACAACAGAGCCAGACCTGTACATTCTTTTGTCAAGTATAAAACTTTCCTAATCTCTTCTCCAAAACATCCTCTATAAAGTAACCTTTTCTTTTTCTTTGTTTAAATTGAATCTGACTCTAAAATCCAAGTAAATATAAGATCAAAACATAATTACCAGATACGAAAGCAAACTTTCTTCTTTGAGAAGGCATATGACAATTACAGCAACAGAAACTAGGCGTGGATTCCAAAATAATTCACACCCACGACCTCCAACCCTATTGAACATCAAAAGATCAAGCTCCCAGCACCCTAAAAATATTCTAACACAAAACCAGAAATACACTCAAGTTACACAACAATCAGTAAAGGTCATGACCCTAGAGCTCTCTCCCAACAACAATAATACACAAATTCCAGCAGGATATTCCGAAGGAGACCATCATATACAAGCAAAAACAACAGCAAAATTCCAATCAATGCGATCCTGTATATTCTTTTTCTTTATCAAATAAAATCAGAGGCCTAGAATCCACCAAGGAAACATATCATCAAAAACGTAATCACATATATAAGAAAGCAAAGTATTCCCAGAACAACAACCACAACCATAGGATAAGCTCAGCAGCATTAACTTGAATATAGCCAAGAAACATATGACAACGATTACAGCACCAGAAACTAAAAAGTGGGTTCGAATATATTTATTATTCATGTCAACCCACAAAGACTAATATTATTATTAATATTTCACTTCTTGAGACTACCACGGATACCGGGTTTGGGCTTGGTGTTGCTGGGCTCAGCAACAACAGTGGCATGAAGATTGGTGAGCTTGGCTTCATCAAAGGGAATCTTGGGATGTCGAGCATCGTGATGGATCTTCATAGACTTCATATCAGGTGCTGTCACTTTGCAGAGCGGGCATTCCAGCTTGGCGTGTCCACCCTTTTCGATACCAGTCCTATCGGCTAACCCAGCTTTGCCTCCGCCCCTGTTGGTCAGGGCTGCGTCTGCCTTTGCAGCTAGCTCCTTCGCTGTGTGCTTCTTTGGCTTTGCTTTTCCTGTCATGGCGATTGGGTATTGGATTCTTTCGATTGGTGTCTCTTTGAGGCGAAGGAAACTTTGGGAGAGAAAACCCTAGGCTGGATCCTAATTTGTATTGGAAGGGGGATGTATAAAGGGCAAAAAAGATGGATTCTTTTTTCTTTTCTTTTCTTTTTTCTTGGAAAGAATTGGTATGAACTGAAGTATACCGAACAAATTATTACTCCAAGGGAAAAAAAACCATAAAAAAAGTTTAAAACTACCCTTGTACTTTGTGAAATGGTTATTCACGCCCACCATTAAAAGTTTTGCTTCAAGAAAAAATATCATTGTTGTCCAAATATATCGTATACGTCCTTCATTTTTAACCTATATGATTTAAGGAAAAGATTCAAGATTCAAACGTAACCAAAATTATACAATTTTACCTTTCATTCTACTTTCGACGCACTCATATCCTACCATTAGCAATTTATTTCATATTTGTCCTAACAATTAATAGAGCTCTAGCGTAATATAGGTCGACTTCATATGTCTTATTCTTCAAGAAGATCAAAATTTACTCCTCAATTCTTGGTTGATTTCATATTATGTTAGGTTAGAGTTACACAATAAGGGTCAAGGGAAAAAATGTAATGTTTTGCTAATAGCTAGGGATAACATAAGATCAAAAGTCTAACCGGGCAAATCTGCTCAATATTAGATAATTCAAAGGCAAACTTTCTCCTTTTTATCTGCCTTTTTAAATTGTTGTATAAGCGAAACACATGAAGAAAAAAAAAAGAGAAAAAGTTTAAATTTGCCCTTGAATTTTGAAAAATTATTCATTTATGCCCACCTTATTTTGCTTTTGATCTATCTAAGGAATATATTATTACAATCATTGTAACGACCCGACCGGTCGGTTTATTTTCTAGATTCTTGTTTTCCTAAATAAGACTCACCGAATGTGCTTTTATTATTTTATGACTTGCGGGATGGTTAGTTCGAGTTTGGAAGGGTTCGGGTTGAAATCGAAACACTTAGTTCCTTAATATTGGCTTAAAATGGTTAAGTTTGACTTGAGTCAACGTTTTGGATAAACGACCTCGGAATCAGGATTTGACAATTCCAATAGGTTCGTATGATAGTTTTGGACTTGGGCGTATGTTCGGATTGGGTTTCGGATGACGCATGAGCGTTTCGACGCTTAATATTGGAAGTTGGCGCATTGAAGGTTTTCAAGTTCTTTAAATTTGGTTTGAAGTAGGATTTGATGTAGTCGAGGTTTGATTGAGATTCCGAGCCTGGGAATAGTTCCGTATGGTGGTTTAAGACTTGCACGCAAAATTTTGTGTCATTCCGAGTAGTCTAAGTATGAATCGGCGCGTTCGGAGCAAGTTGAAAACTTGAAGTTCATAATTTGATTTAATTTGATTTTGGGGTGTGATTCTTAGTTTTGATGTTGTTTTACGTTTTCCGAGAGTTCGAGCAGGTCCGTATTATATTTATGGACTTGTTGGTGCAGTTGGACGGGGTCCCGGGTGGCTCGGGTGAGTTTCGGACCACCCGGAGTTAAGTTCAAAAAAAGTCTGCTATCTGCTGTTCTGGTTTCCTTCTTCGCGAACGCGGAGAAGGCCACGCGTTCGTGATGAAGGAATAGAGCTGGGGAGGTTTTGCGCTACGCGTTCGTGCAAGGGAGCTCGCGATCGCGAAGCTCCGAGCTCACTAAACTTCGCGTTCGCGTAATGGGATCCGCGTTCGCGAAGGGTAAGGCGAGCTGGGTGGGTGGCACTGTTGGTCTTCGCATTCGCGAAGGAGCCCCCGCGTTCGCGTAGGGCAGGCCAGGATAGCCTCCGCGTTCGCGAGGCCTTGGTTGCGTTCGCGATGGTCAAAATTTCTGGGCCTGGGCCATTTGCCTTCGCGATTGCGAGGCCTCTTCCGCGATCGCGAAGAAGAAATACCTGGGCATAGACTTGTTTTAAAAACGGGACTTAGGCTATTTTCTCTCATTTTTCATTTCCTTGACTGATTTTGGAGTCCTTTGAAGAGGGTTTTCACCTAGCTATTGAAGGTAAGTAATTCCTACCAATGTAAGTTTAATACATAGATTGCGGGTAGATTTTAACATGTAAAATTATGAAAATTATGGGTTTAACCTAGGTTTTGATAAAAATGAGATTTAACCACGAAAATGATTATGGAATTAGGCAAAAGTTATATATTTGAGTTCGTGAGGTTATGGGTAATATTTATCTTTGAAAATTTCCGGAGTCCAGGCATGTGGGCCCGGGGGTAAATTTTAGGAATCTTCCAATTTGGGTTGGGTAATCACTCTAGTAGTTAAAATATGAACTTTTGAGCATGTATTGATTAATTTATATAACATTTGACTAGTTTCGGATTGTTCGGCACCGAGTTGAGACTTTAGAACGAATTTGTGGGCCGAAAAGTGAGCTTTGAGACGAGGTAAGTCTCTTGCCTAATCTTGTAAGAGGAAATTTACTCCATAGGTGTTTTAATTACTATTTGCTTCTATTTGTGAGGGCTACGTATGTACGAGGTGACGAGAGTCCGTGCGTAGCTACTAATCATGCTAAGTCAGAGTAGTTTTAGGACCCAAATCATAAAATACTTGTATTGTTTGCACTCTACTTGTTAATTTAAGTGCCTAAACTATATTGAAACTTGATAAGAATTCATAAAGGTCGAACTTCACTTACTTTGAGTTTTGGCGGATTACTTGATTGTTAATAGAAATTGTGCTTGCTTGTGTATTAGTCTTGTGGTGGTTCTTCAATCGGATATTCAGAGAGTATTCTCTCTTCTTGTGGAGCGGGCCGAACACCTCGGTAGTATAATAGATGCATCTATGGTTCGTGTCGCTCAACCCTCGGTAGCGTACACGTTATTCTGGATCAGGCTGTATGACCTCGGCATAAATCGTGCGTGATAATGCTTGGAGCCCAAATATACTTGATATTTTTTTTATGACTTGAGAGGTTATAATTTACTTAATGGCCTAGAATTGTTGAAGTTAGCATGTATCAATTGGAGATTTTTAAATTGAATATCAGCTGGAGAACTATTTATTTATTGCTGGTTATTGTGTTATTATTATTGTTCATGTATTCCATGCCTATTGGAATTTCTGTACTTTTATTATTGGCCCGTAGTAAGTGTCGATGTCGATCCCTCGTCACTACTTCTTCGAGGTTAGACTGAATACTTACTGGGTACATGTTTTTTATGCAATAACACCGTAAGTAAGTCGAATACAGTTAAAGTCGGGTGAAACCAAGTAAGGAAAAACATGTAACAACCCAATAGAACCACCTCTCTCGCACAAAGTTTATACAAGAATTCTTCCGTGGTACCACACCTCATAATCACAATCACATGTCCCAAATCATGAACCCTAATCACTTGGATCTTGTGCCCATATTATAAATCACACCCGCACGGACAACTCACGTGCTGCATGGACAATTCATGTGCCAATACCATTTATACCTTATATCTGCACGGACAACTCACGTGCCAATAGTATAACTCACGCACAGAAGTTATGTATACAAGAATGCATGTAAATGATCAATAAAAATCAGGGTTCATCTTCTTAGACTAATATGAGTGACTAATAACGGTGTATGCTTGTGCAAGTATTCTATCACAGCTCGAGTCAACAAGTAAGATCAGAGACAACGAATGAAACATAGGAAACAACACAACAAAACCGTAATATGCATGACTCACACAAGGTAGCTATACCACTACAAAAATATCATCAATAATAATGCCCCTAGGCCATCACAGATCATCACAAATCATCACCAACATAACTCCCCTTGTCTCGCCGCGTTCGCAACAATAAAGTAAATGCCTGCCTTGTCTCGCCACACGCGCATAATAATATTCTCACCTTGTCTCGCCACATGCGCAAACCCACATTTATAGCCCTACTTGTCACGCCACATGTGTAAATATCAATAATAGCAATAACACGAATGATAAGTGTTGATTTTGACCACTTATTAGTAATTTTTTACTTTTGTTTTAGTCCGAAAGTGATGGTTTATGTTCCTAAAATTAATGAAAGTTTGCAAATTGCAGGAATGTTGGAGATTTGGGCTCTTATGAAGAAATCCTACTCACAAGGCAAGAAGAGGCACAACAGACTAGACGTGCAGTCCGCAGAAGTATTTTTGCGGCCGCAGAAGTAAGTGCGGACCACAAAATTCTCTCTGCGGCCACAGATCTGATGACGGAGTCCAGAAGTAATTGAAGAAGAAGTGCAGACCGCGCACAATACGTGCGGCCGCAGAACCTGGTCGCACTAATAAGAATTTAAAAAGTTCAGAGAGTGTGCAAAATGACCAAGACTTAAGCCTTTCCTGAAATGCGGACCACACATGAATTGTGTGGCCGCAGAAGATTGAAGTGCAGCCGCAACGGACAACTCACATGCGAAAACCCCAACAATCCTCTCAACAATACCACGTGTGGAAAAAACATAACACAATATAACAACTCGCACCACATGTGACCATATGCCACCACATTTCCTTAAAAAATAATTTCAATACCGCAGCCACACATAGCCCTCAGCTCAATAACACCGAGTAACAACAACAACAATAACCCAGGAGTACGACAAGTAAATCAACAAAAGAGTAACAAAAGCACAATGAAACGGAAGAGCTCACAATAAAGACATGACAAGTAATAATAACTTCAAATAAGAATAAATTGGCAATAGGAGAGATAATATGTATCAACGATATCAAATAAGAATAATTCAAAAAATAGGAGAGATAACATGTAACAATGATTTCAAATAAGAATAACTCAACAATAAGAGAGATAATGTGTAACAACGATATCAAATAAGAATAACTCAACAAGAGGATAGATAACATGTAACAATGATTTCAAATAAGAATAACTCAATAATAAGAGAGGCAACATATAACAACAATTTCAAGTAAGGATAAATCACAATAGAAGAGGTAACATGTAATAAAAGAGGCAACAACTCCAATTAAAACATATAAGAGTATAGTTGGCAACAAAGGGTAAAACATGAACCAATCAACTTCAAATAAAGCATGTAAGGGTAAATTTAGCAATGGAGGATATAAAGTAAAAACTTACCCACACCGGGTGTTTACACCCGATTTTATTAAGTTAATC